ATGCCTCTCATTTTCTTTTCATGATGGAACCCTCTGCTCCATATACCTTTGTCTTTCTTGCTTCTGAGCCTTTGCTCTGGGTGTTTCCCTGCCTGGAACTTCCTTTCCCTTTCTGCCTGCCCAAATCAACGTTCTTTCAAGGCCCTGCTTCAGTCCTGCCTGAGTGGATTATTTCTCCCATCTTCCCAGATGTCTCTACACTTACCAGATTTTATCTCCTCATGTTCTCTGTTTGTTTTATGAGTGTGAGGCTTTATTTTCTCCAAGAGATCTTAAGCTTTTAGAGATCCTGCTTTGTGTGTCTTTTCTTTACATCTCTTCTGCGACCACGTGGGTCCATCCCTTGTTAAATAGGATTCCCGGAAATGGCGTGGAACAGCATGTACCGGGAGGCCTCCAGTTCGGGTCCTACCATGCCTTGGCCGCATAAGTTCTGGCTGACGGAGTTTCTGCCCTTTCCCCAGATGTAGACATTTATTCTCATGTGCTCAGGGACCAGTAGAGGCTTAGCTCAAACTCTAAATAAGACCCAGTCCCTGTCCTTAAAGAGCTGTAGTTTAGTTGGGGGGGTAAGATGTGTAAACAAAAGGTGACAATATTTTCTGACACCCAGGCAATACCAGGCGTGCCTTTGTTCCTGTGCCCCCTGGAGAGGGGCGCTTATACCTTTGTCTCCCTATCTAGAACGTGAGCTCTCCGAGGGTGAGCTGTATCTCATTCATGTCGGAGTCTCTAGCTTCTAGTCCTAGTACATGGGGGACACTGAATAGATATTTGAGTTTGCTGAGCGAGAGAGTTGACAAACAAACGAGTGAATGTACCCTGCGTCACAGGCGTCCACGTCTCTACGTCTCTGCGTAGAGAGAAGAGGTACGAAGACGACAAAGAGCGGGTGAGTTGGTAGCCGCTTTTTGAAGAAAGACTAGGAGGTGGCTGAACAGACCAGAGAGGAAGGGCATTCTGGGAAGAGGAGACAGCGAAGGCAAGGACACCAAGGTGTGAAGTCCTGGGTCAGAGAAACCACCTGGTGTGCAATGGCTGCAGAAGGGCACGGGGCGGAGAAGAGAGGTGAGTAACGATGAGTCCCTTCCTTGGTGGTTTCTCATCGGGCAGCTGGGTGCTCTGCAGATCCTGAGACCAGCATTTCCTCCTAAGCTTGTCCCTGCTTACCAATCCCTTCTCCCCAACCCCCGAACCTGGCTTCTCACCGCCCATGGCTCACGGGATGCCAGCCTTTTAATACGAGTTGAAGTCAGGACTTCAATGTGCTCAAGAATCACCCGGAGATCTTATTAAAAATGCAGATTGTGGTTTCTTGGGTGTGAGGTGCGGCCTGGGAGTCTGCATTTCTAAGGAGCTCCCATGTGATGCTGAGGGTGCCGGTTCAAGGACCAACCACACTTCGAGAAGTCAGGCTTTCAGGCGAACTACCTAGGGAGGCTCTCTGTAGCCTCAGTGAGGCATTCCAAGGGCGAAAGGAAACCACCTTCCTTTGGGTTATTTAGAACACTGCTTCTCCCAGCAGGGTAGGTGATTGGGTGTTGTCCAGCAAAAAGTTAGGGGTAAATGGCACCGGGTAGAAATGCCAAAAGCAGGGCTTCACTCCTCAAATAGCCCATCTTTGATACTGGTGTCTATACTCTGCAAAATACCTCTTTTGAGTTTCAGCTTCCCAGCCTTTTATTGGCTCCTGGGGAAGCTTTACGCTTTTGGAGCAAATGGGCATTGGGAGGCCCGAGTGAGCCACGAACGGTTGCCAGGTCTGTCTCCTCCCGCGGGACCCTGCCACAGGCCACTGCCCCCCTGATTGTTTGACCCTGAGTCCTGGAGGACTGAGTCGCTCAAAGGCCGTCCTGTTATAAATCACGCACCTGGTTTCTCTTAGCCACATTTTGGAGAGAAGCAGAGAGTCGTGTCTTATCTTATGTCCCCAGCCGGGATAGAAGTTTCTGGTCCCTGTGTGAGACCCAATGAGCCGAGTAAGCTGCTTCCCTGAGCCTCTGGGCTCCCTCGACTGCATTAAGGAAAAGGAGGAGGCCGGCTACGTCAAACCAAAACTCTCTGGCTGACATGTGCCTGCGGCAGCACGGGTGGCTGAGTGGCTGTTCCGCAGACACAGACCTGGACCGGCAGAGCGGAGGGCCCGGGCCGGTGGCAGGGCCCGGGCTGGTGGTGGCGAGGTCTCTCCCTCCTCTCCCTCCCGGCACACCTGGGAGCCTGGCCGCTGCGGCAAGGAGGCCCGGGGCCAGAGGGCAGCAGGGATGGGGACCGGCCGTGGCCACTGGAGGACAGTTTTCCCTAGGCCGCCCCTCCTCTCTCTCTACCCCTCTGCCTCCAGTGACTGGCACCCAACCCCGGCCACCTGGCCTCTCCCAGCCTAGCGGCTGCGGCTAGATTTTCCTGCCTTCACGATGATGTCTGCTTTTCCCCATTTCCTCTTCCAATCCATTCACTCGGTCGTTCGCTCTCTTGTTCCTTCATTCATTCGGTCGCTCGTTCATTCGTTCGGGCGGGCTTCTGGGCAGCTTTGCGTCACCCGTGTGTGGAGTGTCCGCTCATGAGCCAAGCGCTGCTCCGAGCTCCCATTCGGTTCCTCCACACCCTGCTTGGGGCACCTTCCTCTTGCATCCTATGCAAAGGTTCCTTGCTACGTCCCTTCCGGTCTTCGCTCTTCTCTTCCCTGCGCCTCTGAACAACCCGAGAGAAGGACTTGCGTCTCCGCCGTGGGCCGTGTAGAGTACCGGGAGAACCCAGTGTTTCACACAGGCCTCAGCTTGCGTCCTGCCTCTGCCTCTGCCCTTGACGGCCATACGTAAACTGGGGTGGGTTCGGTTCTGTCCGCCGCAGCGACGGGGCCTGGGACAGGTGGCAGTCCAGAGCTGATGGCCAAGAAAGAATTCTCGAGACGTCTTCGGTGCCAGAAAATGTGACTCCGTTAAAGCACGGGGACGGGACCCTGGGCAGAAAGAGCTGCCCCGGGACCGTGAGGAGAGACTGATTATAGACTTGGGAGCCAGGGGAGGCAAAGGCAAGGGGGAGTTTCCAAAGTTTATATACTAAAGAAGACTCACAGGAGAGGGGAGGCCTAGCTATTGTTAAGCTCAGGCCGTTTTTCCCTCTAGCAAAGCATGAACCTTAAGACAGAAGGGAGTTCCTGGAGGCATGTTCTACTCCGCCTGCCTCAAGTATTTATCAATGGGCTGCAGGTTATAAGGGAATTTAATTTTTTTAATGTATTTATTCTGAGAGACAGAGCGCTAGCAGGGGAGGGGCAGAGAGAGAGGGAGAGAGAGAATCCCGAGCAGGCTCCGTGCTGTCAGTGTGCAGCCCTGTGTGGGGCTGGATCCCGTGAACTGTGACATCATGACCTAAATCAAGAGTCGGATGCTCAACCGACTGAGCCACCCCGGCACCCCCAGGACATTTCATTTTATCTGCCATTTCCTTCTGCCTCTGTTTCCCACATCATCAGTTTCCTAATTTACGGTGAAAAAAAGAGAAGAAGAAATCACCTGGCCCAGAGTTACAGTTCAGTTGAGACGTCACATGTAAAGTTCTTGGCACAGAATTAGTGCATAAGGATTTAAATTGCTTCCTCTTGCCCATGGCCCAATGGCCCATCACAAGTGTGAGGGACTGCCACACAGGAGTCTTTGTTCTACTTAAATGTCTCCCAGAAGAGCTGGGGCCACCTGCTGTGTTCAGGGCCATCTTGGGACTTCACCCCAAGTTCTCCTCCTTGTTGATTTTTGCCTTCCTTTTCCAAAAGTTTTCAAACAGACACATCAGAAGAGAGACCTGTACAATGAGCCCTTTGCAACGGTCACCGGTTTCAATAATCAACAGCGATGTCCTGTCTTGTGTCACCTCCCCCACGTTTTTTCCCCTGGTGTATCTTAAAGCAAATTCCAGTCACCGTATCATTTCACCTATAAACACTCCAGTATGTATAACAGATAAAGATGTGCAAGAACAAAACCACAATATTGTTAACATGTTCAACAAAATTAAGAATTATTATTATTTAAAAAAAATTTTTTAATGTTTATTTATTCTTAAGACAGAGACAGAGCGTGAACAGGGGAGGGGCAGAGAGAGAGGGAGACACAGAACCCGAAACAGGCTCCAGGCTCTGAGCTGTCAGCACAGAGCCCGACGCGGGGCTCGAACCCACGAACTGTGAGATCATGACCTGAGCCGAAGTCGGACGCCCAACCGACTGAGCCACGCAGGAGCTCCAAGAATTATTATTAATATAATTTAATACCCAGTCCCTATTTATTTTTTCCCAGTTGTGTCAAAAAATGTCTTTTCACTGTTGATTTGATTGGATATCAGGATTCCCAAAGGTTTGTATTACATTGGATTTTAAAGTCTCAGGTGGTTTTGCATCAGCCTGTTTTGACATGTTCTGTTTTCAGTGGAAATGATAGAAAAATGAGGAAGCCCTTACTTCCTGAAAGTCTCTCCAACTCACTTCCCTGAACCCTTTCCAAATAACACAAAACAAACATGTCCTTTTTTGGGTGTCTTTAAATGACAAAAAGAGTTCCCCCCTTTACAGCAGTTTTGAAATGAATGAGCTCCTCTAACAGCTTTCAAAACCCAACAATCATTCAGGAGGAGAAGAAGAAGAAGAAGAAAAGCAGGATTTGCTTTAGTTCTTGTTTTTGAGGGGAAAAATTCCTGGGAACTTTGTCCTTTTCAGAAAGACTTTTTTTTATGCCCTCCCACCTGCTTTTCAAAATCCACCAACCACAAAATTTACTCCATCCCCCTTTTTTCTCTCTCCCTTACACACTCCCTCTCTCTTTTTAGCAGCAACATATAAGCCGGCCATATTAGAGAGATGGAAATAAAGCTTCCTTAATGTTGTATGTGTCTTTGAAGTACATCTGTGCATTTTTTTTTTAGCATCTAACCATTCCTCCCTTGTAGCCCTCGGCCCCTCAAACCACCCTCTCCCATATCCCACCTGACTAACATCTCAGTCTCTGAAAATGCACAGAGATGCCTGGCTACCTCGCCCTGCCTTCAGTCTCACGGGGCTCAGTCTCTTTTTCTCTTTGGGTAAGTTAGACGACACATTTGCATGCTCCTGAGGGTCCAGAAGTGTAGCCGCAGCTGGAAGAGGGTGGGGGGGTTGGGGGGCAGAAAAGAAGACATTGCTTGAGTTTCCC